CAAGGTCTGACCACGGGGTGAAGGTTTGGCGGCAGGCCGGTGCAACTTGGACCCAGTGAGTGCCACTTTGCCACGTCCACCTCGGGACTCGGGCCATGGAATCAGTGCTGAAGCGGTCTCATATGAAGCAGCCCCAGCGGCGTGACTGCCGCCGTAGCTGGCATATGCCCCAGGAGCCTCTGAAATTGTTTCAGTGGGACCACCATCCTGCTCGTGAATATATTCAAGCAGTTCAACACTGACTGAGCACGTTCCTGCGTGAGGCGTGCTGTTTGTTCGACCAAGTCCAACTCCATACCGAGAAAAGAGATCCTCTGCATCAGGGAGAGTTTGCTCTTTTCCCAGTTGACCCGAAGGCCCAACTAGCTGAGGTGCGAGAGCACCAAGTCCCTGTGTTCGCACAACTGATCCTGAGACTGAGCTAATATGAGCCAGTCGTCGAGGTAGTTGAGAATGCAAATGCCCTGTTCTCTCAGGGGAACAAGGGGTGCCTCCGCAACTTACGTGAAGACACGGGGCGACAGGGACAGCCCGGAAGGCAGGACCTCGTACTGATATGCTCATCCTTCGGACGCGAACCGCAGCAATGGTCTGTGGTGTGGAGGGGTCGACACATGAAGTACGCGTCCTTCAGGTCGATTGCTGCAAACCAATCTCGGGGACGGATGCACCCGAAGATGCGTTCCTGCGTCAACATCTTGAATAATAACCGGTGAAGGGCCCGGTTCAAGACACGTAGATCCAAGATTGGTCGTAACCCACCGCCTTTCTTGGGTACAATGAAGTAGGGGCTGTAAAACCCCGTCTTCATATCGGCTGGAGGGACCGGCTCTATCGCATCCTTCGCCAGTAGGACTGCGATCTCCACCCGCAAGACAGGAACATCGGCCTCCTTCAGTTGCTATGAAGCGGATGCCACTGAACTTGGGGAGACGGCGGGCGAATTGAATCGCATAGCCGAGACGGCGGGCGAATTGAATCGCATAGCCGAGGCTGATGGTCCACAGAATCCAGCGAGACGGGCTGGGTAGCGCTAGCAGTGGGGCAGGGAGGTGGAACGCAGGGACCCAACTCGGGCGGCTTGTGAGCGGACCGAAGAGGGGTCTGAGTGTGCGGTGCAACGCTTACCTGATTCCACAGGTTGGCAGAGGGTGCGTGAGTAGGGCCTTCGTTGACGCTCTCGAACCGCCCGCTGCTGCCTGCTGGCGATGGTGGAGGCTGAGCATGGTCCGGTGTTGGTCCGTCCGCGACTCTCCGTACCCTCCCGGGACCCAGGGACAGAGAAAACTGCTCTCTCGTCGAGATTTTCCAGATTCTCCACCCGGCCCTCCTCCGGGGGAGGGAGAGGTGCCTTCACCATCCCCCAAGAGCAGCTTCCTCCCTCTCTGGGTTGCCCGTCCCGGGGCCTCTTGCTCTTCTGCTCACCACCAGGTTTGACGGGGGCCGTCTGCGTTTTTTTTTATCATGCCGGGGCGCTGCGGACAAGTGGAGGCAGCAGGTGTGGAGGCAGCAGGTGTGCGCCTCAGTCTGCTTCTGTGCAGCCGACAGCTGCTGAGCCAGACTCTCGACCGCATCGCCAAAGAGGCCGGTCTGGGACACAGGGGCATTAAGAAACCAAACTTTGTCGGCGTCCCTCATATCAACCATGACCAGTTTTGGCACTCCTGGATCACCATAGTGGACATCCCACAGCCCAGAGACCGCACAGTGACCTTCGTCACTCGTAGCTCGAGGTCCGTAGAGGTACGGAGTTCTTTGAGAACTTCTGGGTCGTGACCACCCTCGTGCAGGTCCCTCAGTGCCTTAGCCTGAAGAACCTGCAGTAACGCCGTAGCATGTAAGGCGGAGGCAGCTTCTCCACAGGCCACATAAGCATCGCTGGCCAGTCGAGTACCTACAGACCTGGGAGGGGAGGCATGGTTCGTCCTGCCGGGTGGAGGCGGTGTTAGGACAGAACTGCATCGCAACCGACCGCTCTACCGGGGGGACCCCCGTATACCCCCTAGCTGCACTATCGTAGAGGGAGGAGGAACCAGCAGATCGGTTTCCAGCAGTAAAAGGTGCCGTCCACGACCTGGTGAGTTCCTCATGCACCTCCGGGAAGAAAGGCACCGAGGCGGGGCGCTGAGAACCAGCGCGGACCACCCTCGAGAACCAATCGTGCAACCTTGAGGGCTCGGGACACGGTGGAAGTCTCCACTCGAGCCCTACTCCCACGGTGGCCCGGGAAAGCATAGCCGTTATTTCCGGATCAGATTCAGTCATTGCTACAGTCCTGGTGGACAGCAGCGCAGCCGAATCTTCCTGTCCAGAAATCCTAATCCTCCGATGCAGCGATCGACATCCGGTCGTTGCGAGGAGCGCCAAAAAATACGGCTGGTACGCTCCTTGTAGAGGGCCCAGCACGTTCCATTGGCAGCTCAACTGGTTGCGGAGTGCAAGAGGAGCGATGGTCCACCGAGGGTTGGTTCCCTGAAGGGTTTGCCATCACTGTTACCCTCAGACTGCCCATGCTACTGCCTGAAGTAGCTCCCACTTGACTGCCGCCATGACGAGAACTAGATCGAGGCAGAGGCAACGGAACTCCACCCCTTTAAGGAAACGGAGCTTGGCCCGCGACTCCGAGATGATCATCTTCCCGCAATGAGAACATGACTCATCCACAAACGCCACCTCAATGTGCTAAATGCCCAGGCACACGAGGCAGTGATCGTGACCATCACCCAGCGCCAGGTAACGACCGCATCCAGAAACGCCCGGGTGATTCGTTGTCTATAGCAAGACCCACATCGTGGGAAAAATTACGCACCCGTAATTGCTCTTTTAGGGAAAAAGCTCTTTTAGCGTGCTGAGGCACACAGAGGAGATGGCTGCTCGCAACACAAACAGGGGGTAGTGCAGCCTGATGTGTGCAACCCACTCAACACGGGAAACCACCACCGCTGAAGCGCCGTACCGCCAACACGAAGAGCTCTTAAAGAGCGCGCTGAACTCGTTCGGTCTTCTTCTCTCAGTAGAGTAGTCAGTAGCAGAACGATGTGATCGCTCGGCTCCGAAGCGAAAAGCTGATTATGCGCTGCATCTGCTGCCTACTTATACTCGCGCTGTGATCAGCGGCAGCTGGATGCAATAATCGCATACCAATGTGCATTGGCTCGTTTAGTTTACACTCGAAGTAGATTGGTCTCTCTAAACGAGATCCCAATTCGTCGGTCATCCGACGTGACGTCGGGAGTGACCGACTGAAAGGGAACTATAATGTTCCCAGAAATGCTGGATAATGTCTCACCTATGACCTGGTTCCTCTTGATGGAGGCCTCTGTGGCGAGAGCTTGATGAAAGCTCATGATTCTCTCCTGCTGCTGCAGCTCTTTATCCAGCTCACTGAAATCTATCTGCTCTGCATCCATGGACTCAGCCATAGACCTCACACTAAAATGCCACAATAGAAGACTCAACATCGAAGTACATCATCCATTTACATTTGTTTAGGTTTTATTTTCCCACCATACCTCGACTTAGACAGTAGGCTTTTTATCTTTGCTATGGTGCGAGAACGAGTCTCCTTCTCTTCCGGACTCAGATCTTCATCTGACTCCACATCCATGAGTCGCTCTGGGATGGACACCTTCTGTGGTGTAGACAGCTGAAGACAGAGGAATCCCACAATACACTGAGTATATCTCAAATAATACAAACCAGAGATCTGCAACTTAATTGTTATAATTAACTATACCTTAAAAGCCAGCTGTATCATATGTGATTTTATTATTTAAATTGATAAGACCTCTAAGTTATCTTACGTAATCAAAACTTTTTTACTGAAAATACTGTTATACATAATCTACTACATACCTTTGCTCATCTGATTGATAGTTTGTATTTTTGAGCAACTGATTCAGGTCGTGGTACATGTTTTTGTGGTGAACTCTACTGATTTTTATAAAGTAAATGTAAGTTTTATATTTATAATATTTCAAGATGAACACTTACCGGACAGAAACAATTTAGCTTTAAATATCCATACATTTTTATAATTATTTGTTAAAAAGTTAAATATCAAATACTTTTGAGGAACATTTATTTGTACATCTTTCAATCATCATTATATTGCATTGCATTATGTTTTGCCCCCCACAATAAAAACTACAGAGCTTTGATCATAACATTTAAATATAATCTTACTAAGATATATAATTGGGAGATATAGAGTTACTGATATTTACATGCATTTCTAGTCTGCTATGCTGCTATAGATTTACATTATAAGCCATGAGAATTTCTTCTTACATTTTAGTTACAAATATCAGCAACTGCACCAAATTTCATATTTTTGCTCAGTGTGGGTCTCTGAGTAAAGCTCCATATTGTCCTATATAACACTACAGGTGCATCTCAATAAATTAGAATGTCGTGGAAAAGTTCATTTATTTCAGTAATTCAACTCAAATTGTGAAACTTGTGTATTAAATAAATGCAATGCACACAGACTGAAGTAGTTTAAGTCTTTGGTTCTTTTAATTGTGATGATTTTGGCTCACATTTCACAAAAACCCACCAATTCACTATCTCAACAAATTAGAATACTTCATAAGACCAATAAAAAAAACATTTTTAGTGAATTGTTGGCCTTCTGGAAAGTATGTTCATTTACTGTACATGTACTCAATACTTGGTTGGGACTCCTTTTGCATGAATTACTGCATCAGTGCGGTGTGGCATGGAGACAATCAGCCTGTGACACTGCTGAGGTGGTATGGAAGCCCAGGTTGCTTTGATAGCGGCCTTCAGGTCATCTGCATTGTTGGGTCTGGTGTCTTTCATCTTCCTTGTAGGATCTATGTCTCACAACGGACCCACCTACATGATGGAGACACACATCAAACCCTCACATTCCATTGAGACAAATCGAAGAACTCCTATCCAACAGATGCAGTCGTAAAACTCATGCAGGGTCAGTGAAGGTGAAGCATTTCCTGGACTGTTTGGCTATCTCTCTAAAGATACGCTAAAAAAGACAGTACTTTCACAGTGCTCAAAAGCGTTTTACGGGCTTTCAAGGACCATATAGGGATACCCCTGACCATTTGACGCATAAATTGCTAAAAAACGATCAACAAAAGAAACTATTTTATAGCTCCCTGTCCAGCAGGAGATTCTCCAGCAGACTCTCAGATCTGACCTGAGAATGACCGAAGGACCCTTTCCTTTTGCCCCTGCATTCCAAAGGAAAGAGACAAGATTTCTTTGACAATCGTTGCTAATCATTGAAAGTATGAAAATATCGGAGCATAGAGTCACAAATAATATGTTGTATGTGTTAGATATATATACTTGATGTGTTCATTTAATCGGTGCAAGGTTAAGCAGTGTTTATTACCCCTTTTTAGAAAATTAGGATATTAAAGATGTGTGTAATGTGTGAAATTTAATCTTGAACGAATGGAAACCAGAAATGCAGAAGGTTAAAATGAAGTAAACTTTAATAGTATGTACAATATTTGCATTTAAGA